TAAAAGAGGACCCAAATTCAGATCATGCACTTTCTTTTTATTTTTGGTACCAGGGGTTGAATTTAAGGGCACTTAACCACTGAGCCACATCCCCAGCCATTATTTGTATTTTATTTAGTGACCGGGTCTCACTGAGTTGCTTAGGGCCTCGCTGTTACTGAGGCTGGTTTATGAACTTAGATCTTCCTGCTTCAGCCTCCGGAGCCATTGGGATTACAGGCGGGCTCCAGGGTACCAGGCATACACTTTCTTAGTTGAACAATTTTTTTTTGTTATTTCAGGAGGACAGTGATTTCTCTTTCAGTGTGTATGTTAAGAAAAGAGAGTCAATTATTACAAGAACAGTTCAACTATTCAAAAGTTTAGAAGCATACAAATAAAGATGCTGATGTCAATATTCTAACCTTTGGGACAAAGCTTTTCATGGATGTAAGCAATATTTCCACAAGAGATATATTTCTAAAAGGGTGGGGGAGGAATAGATCTGTCACAAAATTGGCTGTGTTGATAAGGTTAAAATTTTTCCTGAAGCCCTTTCTTTGGAGGATTAAGACAAGGCCAGTGAGTACTATGTAATCAGATCTAATATATAATATCTCCCTTAAAGTGTCTTTTCTGTGTTAGGTCTAAAATCATTATTAAAAGAAAAAACATTTCAAGAAATGGTTTAAGTTTTGGGATAGAGGGCCTTAATTTTAGAAACTTCAGTGCTAATCCAATCGCTGTAGTATCTTTTAGCAAATTGACTCTACAAATGAATAATCCATCCTATTTATTCATTAGCTTGTTTGAGAAATATTTATACTAATAAGAGTTTAACAGATGACTAAGGAACACAAAGAAAACATTTTGGTCAAAACACTTAAGAAAACATGCAAAGAATCTTTAGCTAATGTTTAACATTAGCAATAAGTGACTTTTCTGTGCCTCTCTGGAAAACCATATAAAAATCAGCAGCCCCGGCCTGTTGTATTTTTTGTGAATCTTCAGTTTCCTGGAGATGCATAATTGAAGTCTTTCTGTTAATACTAAGACATGAAAGCAGTTATGATTTATTATAGTTTTATTTTCATTGCCAGTGAAAAGTCAGGTAGAAATGCAAGGTGCACCCAGGTTGATCTTTGGTTAGTCTTTTGCTGGGAACAAATTCAAACTAGACACTATTATGAAACAGTGCCAAATAAAGGTTAAAATCCAGATGCCACTATTTATGTAGAAACAAACTTAATAAGAGACTCAGCTGCTCCCTTATTGACAAGTGAAAATAAAAAAAAATATTTAGAAATATTTTTAGCACTCTTAAAGATTTCTTTGCCATGGGAAATAAGTGCGTATCATATTTTACCATAAAACGCATAGTAATCATTTTTTTTTCTTTTTGGGTATAAAATACAAATTATCAGAATGATGCAATCATAGTAATTTCTTGGTTTAAAATGTTGTAAAACTGCCAGCTCTGGAAGCTGTGGCAGGAGGATTGCGAGTGCAAAGCTAGCTTCAGCAACTTAGCATGGCCCTAACAACCTGGCTGAGACCTTGTTTCAACATAATATATAAAAAAGGGCTGAGAATGTAGCTCAGTAGTTAACCCCTTCCCCCTTTAGTCTCTGGTGGGCGCGCGCACACACACACACACACACACACACAAATCTTGTAAAACATTCTCATTACATTTAGAATAAAATTAAACTTCCTTGCTGGGGTATATGGCTCATGGGAATCTCTCCGTTCCCTTCAGCCCAACCTAATCTCTTATTCCCACTTAACTGGTCCCTAGTCAAAAAACTTGTTGTTCCTTGAATATTTTAACTTATTCCCATATCAGGGGCTTTATATTTGCTGTTGCCTTCTTAATACTTATGTCTCAGATCAGTATCTCCTCAGGGGCTTTTGATCACTTATTTACAATACTTTCACATTCTTCTCCCCACTTTTCTTCTATCTCATTATGTTGCTTTATTTTCTTTATAGTACATAGCTTTATCTGAAAGCGTATCATTATTTTGTCTCCATATTTTAATCTTTTCTTTTAAAAACATGAATTTTAGGGAAGTTGAGATTGTCTGTCTTATTGACTCAGGTATCCAGTTTGCACATAAAAAGTGCTCACACTTAGTAGATGCTCAAAAAATATTTGTTGAATGAATGCACCAATAAGAATTACTGCAGTGAAAAAAAAAACGTTCATTTTTCCATGCATGCTTTTTTAAAAATTGCATTTTGGGTCTTTAAAAATATTTCTAAAAATAATTTCTATTCCAATTATCCAGTACTTTATCAACAAATCACCCTAATGCCGAAGACCTTAAAAGGGTAATCATTTTATCACCTGAGAGACAGGAAATTTGAATGAGCCTTGAGTAGGGGATTTTTCTGCTCTATGAGCTGCTGACTGGGGTTACTCAGCAGAATTCCAGCAGTTGTTGGCATGGTGAGTCCAAGATGGCTTCCTTCACAGGTGTAGTACCTGGTGGAAATGGCTTGAGGTTGGGCTCAGCTGCACCCTTCTTACTTTACCTGGCAGCTCAGGGCTCCAAGAGGGCAAGGTAGGAACTCTACATTTTCTTAAGGCTTAGTTCTGGAACTGGTTAAGGTCATTTCCACTTTGTTCTTTGGTTAAATCAATCATAGGCCAGTTCTGGTTCAAAAGAGAAGTATAATTTTTAATCTGACACAGTTCTGAGGGTATTTTCAAGGAAACATTCCTAGGAAAATGATCTAACAAATTTACAAAGTATCTTTCAGAAGTGACAATGAACATTTGTAAATTGGATTAGATCTAGAAATTATAGGCAAAAAATTTATGTGTTGTATATGCTATGTATATTTTTCTAGCAAGTTGGTTCATAGATTTTTTTTAATTGATTTCTCAAAGGATCTAATGACATTGGCCTCCTCCTTAATCAAGTTTTTCCCTAAGCAACATTGTGCAGGAGATGTCTATTTCAGGAACTTTCTCTTTTTATAACACCTAGCATCATGTAACAATGGTGGTAATAATTGCTGACTTAAAAAACAATTATTACCTACTTTTGTTTCAGAAACAGTTCTGTAACACTTTACGAAGTGGTACTATTATCTTATTTTACAGATGAGGAACTCAGGCACAATAACTTGTCTACGATCACATAACTAGCATGTAGTGAGGCTGAGAACCTAGCATACTAGCATAGGAGGGACTCAAGCAATGAGGCTTTGTTCATTGGTGACAGTTGACCTGTTTATAAATTGGGAATAGTAGAAGCTATAGGGGAAAAATGAACTAATTGAGGCTGGTCCACAGCTGCAAACTTGGCACATGTTAAAATAGGTGCTTAATATATACTAGCTCTTCTATTCCAGGGGAATTTGCTAACTTTCATTGCAGAGACATTGGTGTCATAAAGTGCAAGACCCAACAAGGGGTGGGTTGAAAAACATTTGAAAACCTGGGGCCTAAGCAGAGATATTGCTCACCCCACTAAACGCTCTGATGGTCTCCCTTTTTCTCTCAAAATTGTATGTAAATGTTGCATTCTGTTCCACAACTCAATACTTATCTATGAATATAAAACTGGCTTCTGTCAAAGCTCTCCCATCATGACTTTTTTTTTTCCCCATCATAAGTTTAATTAGTTTTAAAGATTGCCATCCCATGCATTATAAGTGCTGGCACTATTAAACACTGATGCCACTCTTTTTTTAAATTACTTTATTTATTTTTGCATTACAATTCTTCATTCAGTGATGCCACTCTTGATGTGTACCCGATGCTATATAAAACAATAACAACTATTTATACAAATATGTAAACAAACTCACTTTCTATTCTTTTCCCCCATGAAACCAATTTAGCTATTCCATTTTTCTCCATATCATTTCATCTTAGTTAATACTTCATTGGGCTTATAATTCTTTTGTTTATTGTGTCTCGTTTTTCTGTTTCAAAATATATACAAAAATTTAATTTTACCTTTGGCCATAAGGCTCTATAATTGTTAAAGCCATCATGGCTCTTCTATGGGGATGCACCTTGGTGTGCCCTGGCTTCATACACACCACTGCTCTTGGTGGGATTCAGCAGAGCAGGAGCAGTGCAGGTTTGGAATTAAAGGAAATTCCAAATTAGGTGTAGATTTCTTCCTCTGGTAGCTTTGGGACAAATTTAGACCCATTAACATGTTTGAGTTTCTTATTTTTCATTTATAAAATGGGGTGAGTTGTGGTGACCAGATGATTTCACAAAATGCTTTTTGAAGTATACAATATTAAAGTTGTCCTTTAGCCCGGTGGTCTTCAAACTGTGGGTGTTCTCTTATTAATAGGCAAACAAACAAAAAAACCCAATTCAGTGGACCAAACATTAAAATAACAACAACAACAACAACAACAACAACAACAACAACAAAATATCAGATGTCGCTTGCTTCGAAGTAAATTCCCCCACCCCAAACCCTGGTACTGGGGATTGAACCCAGGGCTGCTCAACCACTGAATTTCAGCCTCAGTTCTTTTAATTCGAGACGGTCTGAATTGGCGAATTTCTGTCATTTGGCTCAGGATTAGAAGTGTGGCTACTGCCCTCAGGCTAAGGCAGATATTTACACATCCAAGGTGTTTCTTTATTTTTTGGTTCTGGGGATTAAACCTCGAGGGGCTTCACCACCGAGCCTAGTTCCCAGCCCTTTTTGAGGCTGGGTCTCATTAAGTTGCTTAGGGCCTCGCTGTGATGTAAATTGCAGAGGGCGGCCCCGAACTTTCGATCCTCCAGCCTCAGGCTCCGTAGTGCTGGGACTGGAGGCGTGGGCCGCCCGGCGGGCCCACTGTTTTCTTTCTACCGGTGATAGTACAAACTTTTGGAAGACTGCAGAACAGCGCACCTTCCAGAGGTGTTACCGGGAGGAACCTGGGTACCCGGGACTGAGAGGAAACCCATCCTGTATCGCCCATCTGGGCGCCTCGGCCAAGAAATCGCCGACGGGAACCCACGCGCTGACCACGACCCGATGACCCTTCTCTAGGGCAGGCCCCGCCAGCCCCGGGAGCCACCTGGACGGCGTCGCACCTCCCCGTCGGGGCGGGGTCAAGAGGAAGCGCGCGCTCTTGACGTCATTGCCGGGCGCCGGTGCCTCCGCTTCTGCCACTTCGCGGGAGAAGTTGTTGGCGCCAATGGATCCCGAGTCCCGATAACGGATTCCCCAGCCCGCCGGCCTTCCAGCCTGCTCCTTAGTCCTGGGGCTGCGATGGTGAGCCCCAGGGGGAGGCCGTGGAGCTCGGGGGCCTGGGAGCCTTTACAGGCCGCGGGCGGATGGGGTGCTCGTGGGTGCGGCGTGGGGGAGGACGGCGGTGGGTGCTCGGCGGGGGAGCCCAGGCACCGGCGGGGCCGCGCACCCGGCTCTGGCTGCAGACTTCCCTGGGAATGCGGGCTGCGGCGCTTTCCGTCGCCCGATGCGCGGGGATTTGGGTGCTACGCGGCACTTTCACTCTTTTTTCAACTCTGGGGGAAGGGAAGAAGGAAGAGTGGTGATGATTTGAGAACGGAGCGTTAAAGTTAATTTCCTGTTTACTGTTGCCCCCAAACTCCGTTTGAGTGCTTCCTGGAGCGCTGATTTCAAGATGTGGGTCAGGAGGAAGAATGCAACAAACTTTCCTTTCTTTAGAGTAAATTGCCTGAGGCCTTCAAGTTTCATGATGAACAGCTTCCTGCAGCTCTCTTCTCAGTCTTTTTTTTGAGCCTTGATGGCTATATGGGGAAGACGGTTCATTTTGTTTGAATGTTCATAGGAGTTAAACGGATAGCATGGTTTACCAGGAAAAAAAAATGCAAAGAGTAGAAACAAATGTAATGTATTTGACAGCTGTCATCCCTTATCACCTGATGTTAAAACAGTGATCTTAAACCCCCCCAAACTTAAGTGCATAATTCTGTATAAAGCATTTCAAACTAATTGAGAATAGAATAGCAGCCGGCAAGAGACATTCATCATGGTATGGCAGTGGGTACAATTATGTGCTTGAAATGTTTCTAAAGGGCAAATTAAGGTGTTCTGTTAAGACAGAAGATACTTACCAATCATATGTAATTTTTAAAGTCATTCTTAACCTTGTCAGAATGCCAGCATTCTGAGGAAAAAAGTTTCATGCCAAATTGGGAAACTTTGCAGCCCTTTGTGTTTTTCTCAAAAAAGGATATAATAATGATGATAATAGCCACCCTGAACCAACCATCATCTTCAGGTCAATATGCGAGCTGTTTTGCTTTTAAATACTTTCTTTTTTTTTTAAAAAAATATTTTTTTAGACATTGATGAACCTTTATTTTATTCATTTATTTATATGTGGTGCTGAGACTTGAACCCAGTGCTTCACAAATGCTAGGCAAGTACTCTACCACTGAGCCATAATCCCAGCCCTTACTTTCTTTTCATATTGACCCATAGCAATTCAGTTTTACAGATGGTAAAGAGACTTTTTAAACAATTTGTCATACAACTATGGTTGAACTAGAATTAGAACCTAGGTGTTTCTGGCTACTGCATTTTACTACCTCCCTAAAATGATTATCATTACACTTTGGATTTGGGGAATCATGGTAGGGTGGAAAATTGATGAGATTTGAAGTCTTGAAGGTGAAAATGAGATGTTGTTTTAGTTTAGTAGTTTATAGTTATATGGTCTTGAGCCAGTTAAGTGGCTTAACTTTAGACTCTCTTTTTCTGTTTTATTTTTAAAAAAAAGGTGTGGGGGGGATAATAGCTATCCCTCCAATTTTTTTTTTTTAGAATTAAACAAGATAATATATATATATATATACAGCTTCCATTTTGGAGCATGGTATGTAGTAGGTAATATACAACTGCTTAATTTCCAATAACTTGTTTCTTTCAGAAAGGACTCTGAAAAAAATACATAAGATTTTAAGGGAAATTGTAGATGCTTCTGATGTCAATTACAATGAACCAACAGCTTGTATGGTTAATTTTTGATCATTTAGGTACTTTTAAATTTGGTCCTTTCTTTCTTTCGAACTTCTGTTCTTGATGCAGTTGAAAAACAAACCTCTTTGTAGAAAAGAAATGATCAAGTTGGTCAATTTTACTGTTTGCTAATGGGAAAAGGTTCTAGAAAGTAGTAAGAATTTTGTATTTTGGTTTTTGATTTAGCTCTCCAGCCTCTAGTACAAAAAAGTCTAGCAAAACCGTAGGCTAAAATTCTATTCCACAATTTTTTTTAATGCATCTACGCACAAGTTATATTATAGGACAGTAGTTCTTAAATTCTATTGGAGTCACAGTTCCCTTTGGTAAATGTGAATGGCATGCAACTTTTCTGCCCAGAGAAATACACATAGGCCTGTAACATATCATCTTAGCTTATTCACAGACAAAAGGTAATCTGGGAGCTCCATTTTCCCCCAGATATTTTCCAATCAGAAGTCACCAATAAAGGAATAAAACACTGTGTCCACATAATGGAATACTGTTCAGCCATTAGAAAAATAAGAAAATTATATACCCTGATATAAAATAATCTCCAAGATATAAATTCCTCTGGAAAGAAACACAAGGAACTGATAAGATTCATTGTTGTCAGAGATGGGAAGTATGTGTCTGAAAGATATGTGTTTTGAACCATGTGAATATAAAAGGATCAGAAATAAAGTCTAAAAGGAATAAGAAATGAGTCATGTAAACAATTTGAATTGCTATGAGAGTTAATAGTTTGCTCAAAATGTGAATAAAACCCAAGAGATGCTACTTTTAAGAAATCAGCATATAGGTTGACATGGCAACACACACCTGTAATCCCAGTGACTCAGGAGGCCGAGGCAGGAGGGTTGTAAATTGGAGGCTAGACTCAGCAGGCAGTTTAATGAGACTTTCAAAATAAAAGTTTAAAAGAAGGGCTGGAGATGTAGCTCAGTGGTAGAGTGACCCTGGGTTCAATTCCCCAGTACTGGGTCGGGGGAGTGGGGAATCAGCATATGTCATTAATTGGTTGGCATAATTAAAAATATACATAAGGTTGAATTAAACACATCAAACTTAAGGGGCAGCATTTTTGAAGGACTGTCAGGTCACTTTAAATACATTGTAATCTCAGCTGCTTTGTCATTGTTTGCTGTGTGGAATTCTTGCTTCCCTGGACAGTGTTGTGATCCCATTGTAATGTAATTTTGTCATATATCCTAGTACTTGGTCTATGAGGCCCCTACCTGACTCTCTGATTTCACGTCTCAGTTTTGGGTGGTATGAAGTATAGAGGTCAAAGTTTATTCTTGGGCATGTGGATATTTAGTTGTCCTGGCACCATCTTTTGAAAGGGCTATTCATTTCCCATTAAATTATTTTGGCACAGTTGGCAAAAATCAGTTGACTCTAAATGTGAGTTAGATTTGTTGGATTCTTAAATTCTATTTCTTTGGTCTCTGCCTATTCTAATGTTGCAGTGCACTATCTTTCTTAATATGGCTTTGTGATAATTTTTGAAGTCTTTTGAAGTAAGAGTCCTCCAACTTTTTTTTTTCCTCCAAGATTGTTTTGGCTATTCCAGTCTCTTGAATTTCCATATGCATTTTAGAATAAGCAGAGTAGCTAGGATTTCGATAAGAAATGTGTTGAAACTGTAGATCAATTTGGGGAATATTGCCATCTTAAATATATTGTCTTCTGATCCATGAACATGTAATGTCTTCCTATTTGTTTAGATCTTTGATTTTTTTCAAATAACATTTTGAATTTTACACTTTTTCTTTTTTCTTTTTTTTTGGCAGTGGGGTGGTGGTTACTGGGGATTGAACCCAGGGGTGCTTTACTACTGAGCTACATCCCCAGCCTTTTTGATTTTCTTATTTCGAGACAGGGTCTTGATAAGTTGCTTAGGGCCTTGCCTAATTACTGAACCTGGCCTCAAATTTGCAGTCTTTTTGCCTCAGCCTTCCAGGTTGCTGGAATACAGGTGTTTGCCACTATGCCTGGCTTACACTTCTTTTGTTAAATATATTCCTATAATTTATTATTTTTGATAATATTTTAAATGAATTTTTTTTCCTTTTTAGAGATTTGGCCTCATATTGAAGGCCTCATAGGTACTAGGTAAGTGCTGTACCACCAAGCTATACTCCCAGCCTTTGGAGTTGTTCATGTCAGTTTTGGATTGTTCATTTGTAAGAGTATAGAAATATGGTTGAGGGCTGGTGATATGGCTCAAGTGGTAGTGCACTCGCCTGGCATGCGTGAAGCACTGGGTTCGATCCTCTGCACCACATAAAAATAAAATAAAGATATTGTGTCCACCTAAAGCTAAAAAAAATATTAAAAAAATAAATATGGTTGAATTTTGTATATTGATCTTGTATCCTTGTTGAACTCATTTATTCTGATAGTTTTATAATGGATTTCTTATGATTTTCTATGTGAGTGTGTTGGTTAGCTTTCTATCACTGTGACAAAATACCTGAGAAAAACAACTTCCAAGGAGGAAACATTTATTTTGGTTCATGGTTTTAGAGGCTTCAGTCCACAGTTGGCTGGCTCCATTGCTTTTGGGCCCATGGTAGGGCAGAACATCATGGTGCCTGGAGTAATTGGTGGAACAAAGCTGCTCACCTCCTGACCACAGGAAACAAGGAAAGGGGAGAAATTGGAGTCCCAGTATCCTTAAGGGCATACCCCCAAAGACTTACCATTCTCCCACTAGGCCCCCCTCCTAGAATTTCCACTACCTCCCAGTTAGCAACCAAGCCTTTAACTCAGGAAATTCTGGGGGACACTCTGGATATAAACTTGAGAAACTTAAGATGAAAAATAGTCCTCTTTGCAGACAATAAATGGTGAAGGGCTGGGGCTGTAGCCTAGTGGCAGAGCACTTGCCTAGCATGTATGAGACACTTGGTTTGATCCTCAGCACCACATAAAAATAAACAAATAAAATAAAGCATGCTGTCCATCTACAACTACAAAAAAAAAAAAAAAAAAGAAATGGTCAAGTTGGTCAGTTTTACTGTTAATGGGAAAAGGTTCTAAAAAGTAGTAGGAATTTTGCATCCTCTGATATTTAGTTAAGCCCTCCAATGTCCAGTACAAAAATATCTAGTGGGGCTGGGGTTGTAGCTCAGTGGTAGAGCACTTGCTTAGCATGTGTGAGGCCTTGGGTTTGATTTTCAGCACCATATATAAATAAAAATAAAAGTCCATTGCCAACTAAAAACAAATTAAAAAATATATCTAGCAAAAACCTAGACTAA